TTGGAGCAGGCATCCAGCAGAGCTCCAGCGATCACTACAACAGAAGTGGTGCCGTCACCAGCCTCGATATCCTGGGCTTTGGAGAGTTCCACCAGCTGAACACACACATTTCAATCAACATTAGGTAATGGTAGAATTCAGGAAAATAGGATAATTAATGAGTCAACATGCAGTTAACCCACATCACAACAGTCTGAGAGGAGAATCGGCACCATCAGACGGTGTTTGTATTGTAACGTACCATCTTGGCAGCAGGGTGGAGCACCTGCATCTGCTTCAGGATGGTGGCCCCGTCGTTGGTAATGGTCACATCGCCTTTCTCATCCTGGATCTGAAACAACAAGAAACAAAAAACAACTTTGGGTTAGACAAATGTGTAGAATCGAGGAGTTGGGTAAAGCCAGCCTAATGCCAAAATCTGTTTACTGACCATCTTGTCCATGCCTTTTGGTCCCAGACTTGTTCTGATGGCATCTGCAACAGCTGTCAAACAAACAAGTGACGAGTCAGAACAGTGACAGAATTCAGTTCACCCTCCTGCTGACTGCTGACTCACATTGAACAGCACAAGAAGCAAAAATCACATTTCTTTTCTGCATTTTTTTTTGGTAATTATTAGAGATCTGTGATTTAAAAAAAAAAAGCTGTCCAAAAACAGGAGTGTCTTGAGTAAGTCCTGCTGTTTGTCATGTGGACAGGCTGCAGTAGTTAAAGTCTTTTTTTGAATCAATGCTACCCAAAGCTAAAGAGCTACTTTGGATGCCTTTGCTGGTGTTACACCGCATGAGAAAAGTTTCATTTTTCATTTGCATTTTCAGCTCTTTTTTTTTAAATGTATTTTTTATTTTCAATGCAGATGCACTCCTCGACAGAACCACCCAGAATAAAAACAAACAAATTGCAGGCCCACTAAAAACACAGTGGACTTCAGACAGACACAGTTCAGTATGTGGGCATTTGCTTCTGCTGTCATATAGCAACCAGCGTTGTGGGCCACCAGCTAGCTCAGATTGTGTTGAGTCATGAGCATCTCACAGGGAGGCTGCACCAAACTCTGGGCACATTTCTGGACATTTTTGCAGCATGTTGCTTTTTGGCTTCTCTGAAAGGAGCTTCAGTTGAAGAAACCTAATTTTAGTCCGTTTAATGCTATATATGCTGCATTCAAATGTGCTGAATAGATAATACTGAATCACCCATTGCTACAAGTCTCTATATTAAACACCTCTACCGCAGAGAACTAAGACCATGAGACTTTTCTGAATGAGGCAGAGGACCCGGTAGAAGCTATCCGATACATGGAAGACTAGAAATAACGGTGCCCTGCCCAGCCCACGGCTATGATACCCAACCAGGAAAGGAGATCTGGAACAATACATTAGCATTTCAAAACGGCTCATTAGCACTTCAGTCTACCTTTGGCAGCAGAGATGTTACTGAACCGAATCTGGGCCGGCTTGTCGCGGTCCACATACGCCCCTCCTTTGTTTTTGCCTCCGCTTGAGACTTTCGGTGCAGCCATCGCTTCGGGCATCGCCTCTTTCTAATCGATGGGAAATGTTAAGGGAAGTCTTGGCAGTGGGACTGATGAGTCCGGGAGCTGGAACACCGCGGTTCGGCTTCGGATGGACTCAGATTGAGGCGTCGCCACTAGCTCCGGCTAGAACCTTCCAGAGCACCGGCTGCAGCAGGGGGAAGAAGGACCCGGCTGTCAAACTGCCCGGCGCTTGGAGATGACGTATGCAGACAGTAGGCGTCGATTGCCGATTGGATTTAACTCATTGACATTTTTTTGCAAAATTGTAAACATTTTAATTCGTGTCCATGAAATACTAATATACATAATTTGCAAAGTTTGATTCAAATATCGTCTCTGCCTTGTTGCAAAGAGCCACATTCTGTCATTACGCTGACGCGGGTTGATTAGTTTGGTCTGTTGGGGCTGAGTCTGCAGATCAGAACCTCTCTGCGTGAGCATGTTGACAGATATCCAAATACTGTCTGCGCTCTGATTTATATGTTTTTGAATTAACCTTCTCTACATCAGGTAGGTTAATTTCGGGTGTTTGGCAGCAGCTCACTGTGTCGTTTACGTTCACATCTTCACAATGCTGCTTTTAAAAGCTCAGCGTTAGCTAACTTAGCTTAGCAGTTTTAGAATGTGGAGGGCAGTCGTGCTGTATTAGCGGTGGTCTTAAACTCGGTACTCAGGTGTGTCTGAACTATTGATCATCTGTTGTGCTGGGGCACCCGCAGCGGTTTGTAAATCTTGTCTATGTGTTGTCTGTGCTTCTTGAATTTCTACAGGTAATAGTCCATTGTCAGCCCATAAAGAGCCCCCAGAAGTGACAAAAGTAGTAAATGCTAATGTATGAGAATCCCAAACCAGAAATGATTCACTAGTTACTGGTACCTTTGATGAGGTCCTGTCTAGTGGCTGATGTGGGCTGACTGAGTGGATGTATGTGCTTGTTGTCCTGCAGCCTGCAGTCATGCTGCCGCTGAAGGAGAAGGACAAACCCATCGTCCAGAAGCTGCTGTCTGCTGGCTGCTGTGCTCGCTGTGTCCTCCGGTTCTGTTGCGTGAGTGTCCAGGCCGCCTACAGACAACCACAGCAGGTAGGACTGGTGCTGCATTCAGGACATGTTGGCCCCATCTGTCTGCATGAATACATATTTTATTTTAAAATCAACACACAGATCAAAATATAGAAAAGTAAAAACGAAAATAGTTATCTTCTCTGTCATTCTCATTGCTCTCATTGTATTCTACAGTTCCATTAAGCATCTAAAATGATTGGTGGTCCCTCTTAGTTGCAGCTACTGAGTGATCGGTTATCATCTTTCATCATAAACAGGAAACCCTTAAGGAGCTTAAAGCTTTCATCGCAGATACAGAAAACAGCAAATGTCAAGATTCAGCAGGACCAGACTCCAGAGATGAAAACAACAAGTCCCATGAAGCGGCAGTGTCAGACACACCTGAAGACCCTCCCAGTAAAAGAGCTAAACTGGAGCCCAGCGTGGCTGCTGCTCAGTGTGAGGAGGAGGACGCTGCTGCTGCTGTGGTTAGGCCGAAGGACGACGAGTCACCTGTGTGTGTGGTGTGTTTGGGAATCCTGCAGGAGCTCTGTGGCACGATCCAGGCCGTGAAGGTGTGTGTGCTGGGAAACATTCATTGCTTTCATCATTAACACTATGAAAATGACAGTGTCATTAAGATGAATGTGTTTCTGGTGTGTTTTCACAGATAGCAGAGGCAGTGAAGGCAGAAAGCTATGAGTTCGACACGCTGGTGCTGTCTGTGTCTCTGCCTGCCCAGCTGTGTGTCCGAGAGGTCAGTGTGTGTGTGTGTGTGTGTGTGTGTGTCTTCTCGCTGACAGTCAAAAGCTCAAATCTAAATAAAAAAGAGAAAAGCAGCAAATCCTCCCTTAGTGAACTCAGAATCAGATCACATTTGGCTTTATTTTTATTTTTTGTTTTATGATAAATTACTTAGGGCTGCAAGGTGGCTCTGTGGTTAGCACCATTGCCTCGCAGCTCGAAAGTCGCCGGTTTGTGTCCCGGTGAGGACACCCGGGATCTTTCTGCGTGGAATCTCCATGTTCTCCCCGTGCAGCGTGGGTTCTCTCTGGGTTCTCTGGGTTCCTCCCACAGTCCAGAAACATGCTGAGGTTAATTGGTGATTCTAAATTGTCCGTAGGTGTGAATGTGAGTGTGCTTGGTTGTCTGTCTCTAAGTGTAGCCCTGTGATAGACTGGTTACCTGTCCAGGTGAACCTGCCTTCACCCTGAGTCAGCTGGGATAGACTCCAGCCCCCCATGACCCTAGTGAGGTTTAAGCGGTGTATAGATGATGGATGGATGGATGTTGATTGGACAAAACAAACATTGTGATGCTGCTGCTTTGGGTTCTGGGCAACTGGGATTAAATTTCTTAGACTTTTCTGATTTTGTTCAAGTAACAATTACAGCGCAGCCTTTACACTGTTGTATTAGTACTGTATGTTTTAAAAGATCAGAGTCTTCTTCTGCCAGTGTTCATGAGTATTCTTTCATCCCACAGCACTCCTGTTGGCTCCACGTAAAGAAGGAAGTGAGGTAAAAGAATCTGTTCTGACTCCTTCATGTTCAGCGTCAGTGTGCGTACAGTCACGGAATCCGAGGTTTGAGTTACGCAGCGCTTTTTTGTCTTTCAGAGAGAAGGGCTTGGTGTTCGACAAGGATGATGTCATCCAGGTGAAGGAGGCCTTCAAGTGGATCATGCAGGGCCTGGTTGCCAAGGAGCTGGGGGGTGTTGCCGTAGTTACCAGGGTAGGTGACGTCCAACCATGAAAAGGAGAAAAATTCTGCCAAATCAAGTTAATTTCAAAAAAGAAAAAGTCAGTTTCATAGAATACTTCACAATCGTGAAAGTTTTCATTCAAGCTGTTATTCATTGTGGTTGAGAAATTCTAAAGATTTAATTTCCTAGTTTACATTTTAAAATATGCTGTTTACATTTACATCAGATGACATGGACTGTGGGCTTTTTTGTGTTTTCAGAGTGCATTCGAGGTCGGCGTAGAGTTTACTCACCCTCAAACGGACGCTGACTGCCACTTCCTGTGAGTGCCAGTCTGTCTTTCTGAAGAAAAAATGGAATTTAAACTCCTGAAAGTCATCATGACGTGTCTTCTATTTTATAAAAACACTGTATGGACATGTTAAGATAAAAAAAACAATTTTCACCAAAAGCCTCTACGACCAAATAAGCAGTCGTCTGTGCATTCTCACCTTGAACCTGCAGCGCACTGATGACTGTCTTGGAAAATTAGATTCAGAACCAATCCTGTCAACCTGCAATGTGCGGCTTTCTGTGTCGTTTTTCTTCAGATTCTGGTTCGAACAAGAATAATTACAACTTGCCATTTTGTATTTCAGAGTAGGTGAGCTGGTGTGCTGAGCTGCAGGGAGGAGAAGGAAGCAGGGACTTCATAGTTCTGCACATTAGAGAGGAAGCCACAATGTTACAGAGTTACATGAAACCTTTTTAAGACAGGAGGTAATGATTTTCATGGAAAAACCTTGTTAATCATACGGGGCGCCCCAGTAGCTCAACCAGATCCACAAACAGGAGCTGTAGTCCCCGATGTAGCGGTCATGGGATCGACTCCCGACCTTTTGTTGCAGGTCTTTCCCCACTCTTCTGCCCCCTTTCCTGTCTCTCTCCATTGCTCTGATAAATAAAGGCAAAAGGCCAAAAAAAAAACCTCAATATGTAGCTTTGATACCCAGAGATGAGTTTATGGGGGTTAATCAATGACTGGGGGGGTTAAGGTTTGAAAACTTGGAAAGGCTTGTATGAGTAAAAGTAGAATTCTGCATTTCCAGTACAGTCGTCCTCTAATGTATTCATAGCCTCCCATTAAAGAAGGAAAACAAACAGCTGCCACTGGAATAAGATGAAATTGACAAAAGTAATAATAAATAAAAATGTAATGAACATCATGACGTCGTTTTAGAATTATGGTTCAACAAAAATATATAAAAAACACACAATCAAACCAGCCTGATGGGACCCGTGAACTAATATGTAGTTGAACAACCCTCTGAGCCAATCACTGCCATCAGGTGTTTCCTGTAACTCTCAGTCAGACTTCTGCACCTGTTGACAGGTATTCTGGACCACTGCTCACCTGCTCATCAGCAAAGTGCTCTCATTTGTCCAGTTTTTTTTTTGTTTTTTAAAATTATTCTTTTCAACCACAATTCAAAAGCAACGTCTTATTTCACTAAATTATAATTTAGCAAATTTTTATTTATTATTACTTTTTTCAGTTTCTAGTTATTTGAGTGACGATCGTGAATTTTGCCTTTTCTTTAATGGAAGGGGACAAACACATCTGAGGACGACTTTCGAAGGCAAATCATGTTTCTATCATTTACATACTCCAGTATCACAAACCTGCCTCTTTACAACTTTACAATCAAATCCTACTTTCTGCCCTGAATGTGCAGCAGAGACGGGCATCATGGTTAGGAAACGAGATGATGATCAGTGAGAGGAGTGGAAGTGTTGAAACTGAACGCATCGGATGAATAAATGACTTTCCTCCTCCTATCTTCTGTCCTTCCTGCAGAGCAACGACTTGTCCTGATTGCTTCAAACCCACCAAGAACAAACAGGTGAGGAAACAAGAGAGCTCCGACTTTCTGTACCATCGTCTAGAGCTTCATCGCTACAGGAACACGTGTGAACTCTGTGTCGCTTCCTTCCGCAGTCTGTGTTCACCCGGATGGCAGTGGTCAAAGCTCTGGAAAAAATATCTGATGCCAAATTTCTGAAGTGAGTACAGACTTTACATTCCCTTCATGGTGTTATTGTCAAAAGTGCTGTTTGAAAGGATTTGTGTTGATGTTTTTTTCTCCAGACATTACCCATGTCCTCCAACACAACCCACCAGCAGCTGCATCTCTCAGGACATCCAGTGTCTCCACGTGTCCGTCTTTGTAGCAGGTAATGAACGCGCTTTCACATTTTGTTTTTAAACACGTGACCGGATAATGACTAATGACTTCTCCCGCTGACGTTCAGGCAGGTACAACAAGTTCTGCCGCAGCCTGCCTCAGACGCCCTGGGTGATCGATGGAGAGAGGAGGATGGAGTCCTCGGTGGAGGAGCTGATCGCAGCACCCATTCTGTCTGCCTTCAGAGCCGACGGTGAGTCCTCGACAGGCGCCGTCGCAGAGGTTCACTGATGAAGAGTTGTGTCGAAGCCTCAGGGAAACAGCAGAACTGTACTGGTGCAGAACTGGACAGCCCAGTATGCAGACGCTACAGAATGGATTAGTGATGATGGTGGTGGATAAGAGTCTAATTAACACAGTCGAACATAAAATAGAACAATCCTGTACGGATACCTACGGTGGACGGGAAATGCAAAACAAGTGTACAAGTGAAATGAACTGGAAAGGGAACGTACCAACTCTGGGACTGAAGCGGAAGTGGTGACGGGGAGCGACCAATAAGAGTTGTTGTTGTCATTTATGGAGTTCTTGGTGGAGGATGTTTTGATGTTTGCACTTCCCCCTTCTGGCTTGGAACCATCGTCACAGATAGAGTTCCTGAATGACTCTCCATTCCCGATAGCAAATACACGTTCAAACATGTTGAAATTACCGCTCCCAGATTCATACAGTGTGTTTAAGTCACAAATGGACTTTGGAATCCAAATTAATCCAGGATTTGGCTGTTTATACGCCATATGACTGGAGGACCACTGGAGCTTGGACTTGAAAAATGTTGTTTGCTATCATATCTAATATAATATATAATATCTGATGCACTGCTGCAGCATGTCTGGTCCTTCTGTCTGGTCTGCACCACTTAAAAATGATAAAGACCGACCACATGAAAAACAAAACCATGTTAATCGGCTCATGCATGTGCCACAAAACATCACTCGATCGCCATCCATCTTGGGTCACCATGAACTCCATAAATGACAACAACAACTCTTATTGGCTTCTCCCCGTTACCACTTCCTGTTCAGTCCCAGAGTTGGTGCATTTCCTTTCCGGTTGATTTTACTTGTGAAGGTGTTTCAGGAATTTGTAAAAGTGTTTTGCACTTTCCAGCCACCCTAGATATCTGTACAGTATGATGCTGATACAGTATATGCAGCCTAGCTAGAAAAACACAGAGCTTATTGGAAGTTATTGTTTTAAAAGATTTTGCTTCATCCTGAACCACTCTCACCTCCACGTTAGAGCCGCAACATGACTTAACCATCGGCCCTTTGATGCTCCTGTCCGTGTTATTTAGACTGTCTGTGTGATGATGGCTTTAGATGAGACTTTATTTCTATTCAGCACAGTGAGCTGCACCACTGAATATCAGGGACCTGTCAGACAATAAAGTGATTGTAATGAAAGTCCTGTTTTGGGTTACAGGATTTAATTTCTCCTCGTCTGGCAGAGAGGATGTGGACGTCCGAACTCTTGGAAATGGTAACTGAATATGGGTTTTTAAAGCTGCACTTGCAGAGGATTTTTATGACATCAAGTGGGTTTTTTTTTAAATTGTATTTTTCTGTTTATTGGGCAGGACGTCCATTCGCGATGGAGCTGCTGAATCCTCACAAAGCGAGACTGAACAAAGTGGAGATGAAGAAACTACAGGAGGTGCAGGATGTTCCTTTTACCTCCATATCTGTTTCAGACGGAGAGAAACCGGTCTGTTGAGCTCAAATGTTGGTGATGTTTTAGCAAAAATTACAGGCTAAATATGACTGACAACCCAACAGAACCATCTGACTGCACTCCAGATCGTCACACTGCATATCAGGAATGAATTCACCATAAACAGACATTTTATTCTGAACCAAACATCAGGACAGTTCATTTAAATGTCTTTCTCTTCTCACAGCTACATTATTCATTCACTGTGTCTTTACTTCAGCCCAAGACTTGTAGTTTCTCTAAAAACCCGACGTTCAGGCAGCACATTATTGACCTCTCTCCATTGGTCCAAGTTAGAATTTAATATAAAAGGTGGATTATTACTTATCAGGCTCTGTGTGATAAAGTTCCTGAGTACATTTTGGATTTCTTGTGTCCATCTACGAAGCTAAAGCCTTGAAATTGGCCAACCTTTATTCAATAAGAGACGGAGCTTTTGCTGTTTTTTTGCCTTGAAACTTTACTATGAGATGATCCAGTTCAACTTTGTGTTTATGTTCTCACTTGTACTTCACAGCGACTGACCTTGTTTTGTTTTGCTTTGTCTTTAGATCATTAACAAGTCTTCAGACAAAATCAGAGTGAGAGATCTGCAGATTGTTACCAGGTGAGAAAATATGAAGCTATAAACTTACATGAAACAAAATCTCCAGCATTAAACAAGTATGATGTGTGTGTGTGTGTGTGTTCGTCTGCAGAGAGGCCATGAGTCGGATGAAGGAGGGAGAGGAGGAGAAGACCAAGACGTATACAGCGCTGGTCTGGACCCAGAAACCCATCCAGAGAGAAGACATCGGCTTTATTGATGACATCAAGGTCACTACAACACACATCACTCTATGTATGTAGAGTCAGGAGGTTAAAAGAGTCTCTAAGCGGATACGTGTACTTCCAGGTAGTACGTCTGCTGAATACTGTGATAAGTATGGAGCGACATCCGAGACCTCCTGTCGCTGAGAGGCTGACATCAGGTCTGTTTGTCTGAGACTCACCGAGACTCTGAACAATAGGTTTTGCCTTTTGTTAAAGGAAAACAAGATCATTAACTCGTATAAACGTACGCAAAACTCCAAATCAAAGTAATCAAGCACAATAGCGGTCAACAAAAAATACCCAGCTCACCCCCTCCCTCTTCCTCCGACAATGAACAGGTGAGAATGTGAGCTCATCAACGGGAGGCGCTATCCTCCTGTCCAATGTGTCCGACAAAAATATATCCTAACCAAAATAAGAATCATCAATCTGCCCCTTGACCTTAAAACAAAAATAAAGATGTACTCATGGCTCCTACTAAGTAAATATGACTTCGACTTAGAGGGTGAGTAGCGAGTTGCCTCGTCATTTAATTGTTTTTATTATTCATTTAATCAACAGGGACAGAAAGGCAACACTTAGATGAAAACATAATGGATATACACAGACTAATAAAGGACACATCCACCAATCTGACCTGGTTCTCTATGAATCTTTCAGCAAAACGCAGCCGAAACAGACGCTTCTCAACTCGAAAACTGCACATTTCCAGAATACAAACAGTGGATTCACAGGCTGTAAACAAACAGACGGATGCTTTCAGACTGCTGCGTCTTCATCAGAGTCAGAGTATTAGCATGACCAACAAAAGGAGGGCAGCAGAGAAAGGAAACTAATACTCACATTTATAGATATTTGCTTAGATATGATATAGACTTACTCTACATGGTAATGCGAGAGTTCTGTGGGAAGCAGTGAAAAGTGTCTGCAGGAGTACAGGAATCAACCGGAACAAGAACAGTGACTGTACAGATAAAGACAGATGTTGCCATCGCGACGCTGGACTACAAGTCTGAAGGCTCGAGGTTGGAATTTGACCGTTGTCATGGTGGCCTTCTGACACCAGATGAAACGAGTGAGGGGAGGCTCAGACTGAGAATCTCAAGGACAGAACGCTGTTAACAACAAGCTCGCCCTGATCTCAAACACACGCTGTTCTATTGTCTGAATGGGACCACAACATACACCACACTGTGTTCAAGGTCTTTAAACTAGAGATTGAAACCATAAACACATTAAAAACATGTTTCCTGAGGTAACAAATGAAGGGAGAAGCAGATTCATTTTCTTATAGACTTCTATACATTCAGGCAAAAAGAGAAGTCGCCCCCTGCTGGCTGTTACAGAAAATCTTGGCTTCACTTCTTAGACCCAGAGGCTACATCCATCTTTTATGTACAGTCTCCATTGACACCCCAGTCTGTTGTTTGTCCAATCAGGACCTGACTCTGGACCAGAAGACGCCTCTGAGAGTTCTGCACCGGCGAGCGCTGGCCGTCCGACAGCGAGTCATCCACAGCATGAACGCCCGCTTCCTGGACCCACATCACTTCTACCTGGGCCTGAAGACGCAGGCTGGAACGTATCCTCACTTGGTCAACGCACACCTGTTAAAGACGAGTTCTGGGCATCTGGAGGATAATATTTAGATAATTAGCATGTTAATGTAATTGTATGTGATCGATCCAAGCCACTTTGATCAACACACACACACACACACACACACACACACACGCACAACAGACAGCCAGCAGAACACGGCTCACTTGTAATTGAAAACCTCCATGACATGACAAACTGCAAACAGATTTTTCCATCACTCTAAAATGGAGTCCATCAGTCCACCCTGTGTCCATCTGTTGATGTGATTTTTGGATGAATCTGAACTGAGTTCATACCAGCTGAAAGTTGTGAAAGACCACGTGATACACACTCCTTAATGCAAAGCCGACAGTTACATCAAAGAGTTTGTCCACGGAGACTTTGGCCGCACCAAACCGAACCTGTGTCAGCTGCTGAAGACGGACACAGACATCCTGGAGCTGGACGTGGAGGTGAGACAAATGAATGCACAAACAGCAGCAGTTACAGAACCTGTGATTTGAAGGTAATCATTGGAGTAAATTGTCTTTTATGAGTGCTTATTCTGCCATGATACAGAAACATTCACAAAACTCCATTAGCATAAAAGTAGCTCCTTCTGGTAGATTAATCGTAGCAGCTTGAGTTCCTTGAAGACGTTCCACCTCTCATCCAAGAGGCTTCATCAGCTCTGACTAGTTCTCCCCCTCGTTATGCGAGTTGCTTAATCGATGAAACCACGTCCACATCTCGCCACAAAAGACCCTAACGAACCCCACTGTGGGACCACTAATGACTCACATAACGACGGGAAGGAGCAACGAACCCCCAATTAAAACCGAAACTCAGGTGTTAATGACTCCTTAAGGATATCTGGAACTCCCAACTAGTCAGTCAGAGCTGATGAAGCCTCTTGGATGAGAGGTGGAACGTCTTCCAGTTGCTACGAATCCACTAGAAAAGCCACGACCTGGATGACTGACAAAAGTAGCTCCCTCATCGGAGAGAAGTTAGCGGTTATCCAGGAGACTCTGACTATGATCTGCTCACAATCAGCCAAATCCTGGAGATCATTTGGTCGTTCATGCAAACATTTTGGAAGACTCCACTTTACAGATTCAACATCTTGTGTTTCTTGTCCCAGTCTGTGGATGTGGACTGGCCTCCTGCCATCCCAGAGTGAACGCCACGCCGAGGCCGGCCTCGTCCAGCGTCTGAGAGCTCACAGCTTCCACCGAGCTGTCAGCAGCACAACACCAACCGGCTCAGAGGTTCACAGCGTGTGTGATGGAAAACAACAGGAAAAAAAGCTGTTTGGATACGAGGACGCTATGAACAGTACAGTCCTGTCGGGGAGTCTGCTCCTCTCCGGTTCTGGATGATCTTTTCCAGCTCAGTGCAAGTCAAATGTGACTTTAATTGGATCACAGACTAAGTTTAATAACACCTAATAGTGACCTCAGTCTGTTGTGACCAGCAGTAGGCAGGTGGAGCTGTGTTGCTCATTTAGTTTTTTCTTTTTGGTCACATGGATGAAGAGCAGAAGGACAGCGTTTCTTAGATTTTTCTTTTTGGTTTCTGAAGAAGAAAACATGTACCTTCAATCCCTCTGTGCACATATTTCCTTTTGCATTTGTCTTCAATAAAAGAAGTTTGTCCCGAGAGTGGTGGCCGAGGAAATCTGAATCAGCCTTATTGTAACACACACCTCCATGAGTGAGGCTAAATCCCCAACAGGGTCCCCAACATAGAAGACCCTCAGAAGAAGTTTATCATCCCATAATAAGAGAAACGTATGGCTGCAACTCAACGATTGTCGTCAATAAGTTTGACAGTTATTTTATTGATTGATTGGTTGTTCAGTGTATGACCATCAAAAACAACCCCGAAAGAACAGTTTAAAAAAAAATGGGAAAAGAGCAAATTTGTGCTTAAAATGACAAAACAGCTCGTTACCAGAGTACTGGCTGGTTTATGGGGAACTTATTAAAACTTCTGTGTCTCTGGAGGGTTTCTCCCTGCAGTCCATCACCATCATGAAACGAGTCGGGTTTTTGATGAAGCTCAGCCATGAGACGGTTACTGAACTGAAGAATGGCGCCCAGGTCCACGGCACCATCACAGGTGCTGAAGTGAGCATGAACGCTCGCTTGAAGGTGGTGAAAATGACCCTGAAGAACAGGGAGCCCACTCAGCTGGAGTCTCTCAGCATCCGCGGCAACAGTATCTGCTCCTTCATCCTGCCGGTCAGCCTCCTGATCGACATCGAGCCAAAGGAAGAGAGAAGCAGTTGCTGGATGAGGACGAGGTAAGAAAAGATCTAACTGGACCATTATCATTAGACATTTGAGAACTTAAGCTTCTTTTCAGATTTTCTTCTCAGTGTGAGATAACAAAGCATCTTTCTGGTGTCACAACATCAGTGTCGTACTTTGGCTTTGAAAAATGTTCCACTCTGATGTGAAGCAAACATAAACTGTGCAGTGTTTCGTTAAAGCTGGATGCAAAGTTGACAAATCATCAACTTTTCGTGT